CGTACGCCAGCGCGAGGAACGGCACCCTTCTCAGCACCCCTGCCTGCGTCTGTACCCGCCTAGCACCGTGCAGCCTGCACCCCTCTGTGTCCGCCTCCCGCCCCGCCCGTCGGGGGGCGCCGCCGTTCGGACAACATGCGAGACCTCGCCCGCCGCCCTGCCACCGTACGTATTCGCGCAGACCCTCCCCTCCCTCCCCCCACCCCCTACCGCTACCGCCTTGCCCGACCCACACCGCATTGAAAGCCGTCCCTTGGTCGCCCGTTGGGGCTGGCAGCCCCCTCAGCAGAAGGTGTTGCAGCAGAAGGCTTCATACGGCAGCAGTGCGAGGGTGCAGCAGAAGCAGCACGCGAAGGTGCAGCAAAACACAACCATGCACAGCGCGATGCCGAGGAAGAGGTACGTCGCAAAGACGGCCGGCGCTAGCGTCGCCACATACTCCTGGAAGCGCTGCACCTCCGGGTCGCCGCCGCCGCCGCCGCCGCCGGCCATGCTGCCCATCAGGCCGGCGGCCGTCCCGCCCGCGGTGGTCATACCCTCCATGGGGCCCATGCCCGACAGCCCGTCAAAGAGCCGCCGCGCCCGCGAGCCGAAGTACGCGAGCGGGTCCGCGCCTTGTGGCAGTGCCTCGGGCTCGTCGAGCTCGGCGAGGGGGGCGCGATCGGCCACCGGGACCGCGCTGCCCGCCGCGAGGCAGGCGAGGGCGCCCAGCAGGAGGGCGGCGCGCATTTTGAGGCGTCCGGCCTTAGGTCGCCGGCGAAGAGCACCGAGGGGTTTGTGGGTTTGGGGCCCGCCGCATTTGGGTTTCTTTTTTGGATACAGTGGCCAGGGGCGGGGCTTGCATTTTTGCCGTCGCCTGTCGCCGCTACAGCGCAGCACACCTATTCTTCTCAGAGAGAGTTTGAGCAATGGCCCTTCTCTTTTCTCGCGTTTTCCTCCGTTTTCTTTCGCCGTTACAGGTTTCGAAGTAACTTGAAGCCCGAACCGTGTTATTTCCTCGAGCGCCGGATAAGCGATTCACACGAGGGCCGTCACAACCTGTTTCTCGGCTCGCCCTCGCCCGGCCCGGCGCTATGCCGGCGCGTTCGCTAGAGGCTGCTGCCGCAGAGCGGAGGCGCGTGCGTCGCCTCGCTACTCTCGCGGCGAAGCAGCTGCCGCCGCCGAGACGCGACGCGGCGTCTGCCGAGGAGAGAGAGCCAGCGCGGCGGTCGCCGACGCCGCCTTCGAGCTGTGTGCCACTTCTCGGGTGCACGACAGCTCTGCGCGGCAGCAGCATCAGCAGCCGCCGCACCGCCACCCGCCTCGCGCCTGTCGCGGCCGGAAGGGAGCACGCCGTCGCTGCCGTGGTACCGAGGGCCGGAGCCCGACTCTCGTACAGTCGAGCGGCTCCGAGGCGAAGCGCTGACACACACAGGGCATGCCGCGCAAGGAGAGCGCGCCTCGAGGCCGGCAAGTGCGCGTACGTGCCGCGCGGTCTTGGTGGCGCGATTCATGAGGTCGCTCTCGCTGCCGGCCGATGAACCCTCGCCGCCCCCGCACCAGCGACACCGGCCGCGGCTCGCCTCCACGCGCCGGCTCGGAAGAGGGGCTGTCGGCGGCGCAGCAGAGCGGCTCGCCTCGGCGCTCGAGCCGCCGACAGCCCCACTCCTCGACGTGACGGCCGCTCCCGGAGCCAGCCGGTGCGCGCCCGACCCACGTTCCCTCTCGCACCCCTCCGACCCCCCCTGCGCGGCGCACCCGCCCGCTGTGCGCCGGCTCGAGCGCCTATCGCCAAATCGCGACGTTTGAGCGCAGCGCACGCGTCCCACACGTCACGCGCGCGCAGGAGAGCGTGCGGCACAGCAGTAGCGTGTACTCGCCGAGGGCATCGCGCCGAAAACCCCGCGCGTTCCGCCCCAGCAGAGGCTGCAGCCTCTGCACAAGCTACACCACTGTAAGAATGGTGAGTACTTGGGGTTGAGTGGGCTTGCTTGCTCCCTTAGCCGGGAGCAAAAATGCAAGAAAATTTCAGATACCCGGTTTTTGAGATTCGCCTCGCAGATCACCCGGCGTTTTTCAGATCACCCGGCGTCTGCGAGTTTTTGCCTCGCAGATCACCCAACACGGCGAAATGTCGTTTCCAGATTACCCAACACGGCGAAATGTCGTTTCCAGGTTACCCGGGTCACGAAATTTCTTTTTCCAGATCACCCGGTTTTGAGCTTCGCCTCGCAGATCACCCGGCGTTTTCCAGATCACCCGGCGTGAGCGGTTTCAGATCACCCGGTGCTGCAAAATGTCGTTTCCAGATTACCCAACACGGCGAAATGTCGTTTCCAGGTTACCCAACACGGCGAAATGTCGTTTCCAGGTTACACGGAAGATGAAATTTCTTTTTCCAGATCACCCGGTAGTGGGATGCGCCGGGTAATCTGAAACCGTTTGGGATTCACGACTGCGTCATTCAAGCAAACGAGGCCGGGGATTCCGAGTGGGAGCTCTCCTTGAGCACTTGAGCACCGGATAGGGTCGATTCCGCATGGTACGGGACCCCTTAGGACCAAGTGCCGCAGGTGCTCGCTCTCTGGACGAGGTGCACGCTCGCGTCCGGGTAAGCTGAAACGAGAAATTTGCGCGCCCGGGTAATCTCAAAGAGAAAAGTTAGCCGCCGGGTAATCTGGACGTTGGACGAGAAATTTGGCCGACCGGGTAATCTGACATGACAAATTTTAGCGACCGGGTAAGCAGACTGGGTAAACTGGTTTGACGGAAATCGCGCTAAGCAGGAAAATATCGTTCGTCGGGTAATCTGCGAGGCGGCCCAGCCGCTTCCACACCTGCGAGAGAGAGAGATTTTTAGCAGAGGTTACAGGCGGGGTAAGATCCGTTAGCGGGACAATACCAAACAACTCTAACACTCACACGTCATTTGGGGCCTGCCCCTGCAGATCGTAATTTATGAGGACCATTTATGGTGGTTTAAAGTTTCGCAAGGGCGGGGGCCTGTTCCTTTTTACCCATCTCACAGTAGAGAGGTGTCCGTTTTTATTTATTTATTTATTTGGTTTAAAGTTTTTTGGGGGGGGGGGGGGCGGCTTTGGCGTTTGGGCGGTCGAATTCAATTTTGGGGGGTTTACGACGGTTTTTGGGATCCTGCCGACGCGCTACAGCTGCACATAAGATGGACACCTCAACGGGAGGGCACTCGGCAGCAGGCGGGGCCGAATCCTGCAGCCTTAGTCGTGGCCCGATCCGGCGGCATGCCACGGGTAGGCGCGTTGAGGCTTGCCGCCTCCTCTGCGCCAACGCGGCCTGTGCCGCAGCTTGCGTTTGCTGCCAGACAAGAGGAGGAGCAGGGCATTTTGGCGATAGGACCAGGCAATCGTATTCGCCCGGCGGGCGTTACGGATTCGAGCAATACCCAGGTCGAGGTCGATGCGCCTCTCGGTGCAGTGCTGCAGCATCGCACGCTTGTTGCGGGCGATGGAGCATCGACGTTACCCGGAATCCTGGCTGTTCCGGATGCGGGTCCGGCGGCATTTGCGGCGGCGTCTTTGCAGCTGCGAGCGCAGCGCGGTCAGAGACCGTCGGCCGCCGAATGGCGCACAATGCCGCAGCTGCGGCTGGAGTGGTGGCTGTGTCGGTTTTGCCCCTGCAGACTGTAGTTTATGGTGGTTTAGAGTTTGCGGGGGGAGGGACAGATTTGGCTGAGGGAGGGTGTAGAGGATGTAGAGTGTAGAGCGCTGTAGAGCTGTAGAGATGTAGAGCGCTCTGGAGCGCTGTAGAGCTGTAGAGCTCTACATCCGCCGCGGGACGAGGCGGGTGCGTTGTAGAGCGATGTAGAGCGCGATTTTGTTGTAGAGTTTGTTGTAGAGGCTCTACAGCCAAACCGCCGGGAAGGCAGCGATCGCCACCTCGCTGGCCTCTCCGCAAGGCCCCCCGACCGCGTCGAACTCATCGGCGCGGGCTCCCTCGGCTACGGGACCGGCCCCAGCTTCGGCTGAGGGCTAACAAGGTAAAGAACAAGCTGCCGAGCCCAAATCACTGTGAGAGTCGTGATTTCTTGTTGGTCTTCAAAAATCTCTCTCTCAAGCTCTCAACAGAGAGAGACATGCTTTTGTTTTTGCACCTGCGTGAACAGAGTTCGCCACCGAGCTCCGCAAGACCGCGGCCCAGGTTGGTTCACAGCGGAGTCGGCTGCTCTACTGGTCGAGATTTCATG